CTAATTTAACCATCAGCCTGGTGGAATTGTGGTAATTCTTACAATACAAGGCGAATTATTCTAATAACACATGAGTTAGGTCCACCTCAATTCTTGCTAAGACGAAAGCTCCATAGCATTGTAAGCTTTCTTCCATTTTAGAATGGACCTGTTTGAGTAAGAATCCGTCTACTGCCGCTGTGCTTTGTCTGCCAAAAGAGTAGAAAGAATAAGAATCCTATTTAGGCCCAAGACCAGGAAACATTGGCTTATGAGCATAATTAGTTCTTCGAACAACCACTGAAGGGCGTTGGTTGTCACTGGTATGTCAGCGTTTGAGTTTGAATCAGAGAAAGGTTAGCCTAGGTTGCAATTTTGGTAGCTAGTTCAGATTATACTATGACGGTGTGGACTTTAAAAATAGCGTTTTGTATATTTGTAAGGTCTCGGAGATGTGTTGTGGAACACTATTCATACCGACAATTGTCCAAAAGGCACCCGGTCCGCGGAACAGTCTAAACTGCAATGGAAAATCACTGTATACCCAACCTCTACCTCAGTAGTGAATGGGCAGATGAGGGATGTGGATAGTATTAGCAAAAAAAGACCACTTAGAAAACCTCGGAAAGTCTGTTAGTGACACCAGCCCTGGCTAACTGACATTAGTAAACCTGGAATGATTCATGGGCAACGACGTAAAATACACTACCTCCGAATCTGACTGACCAGTGTTTATCTGCCTGGGATGCACACATTCGCTGGGGTGCGTCAGCTTGGAGGTGCAGATATGTAGTAATCACAGACTTTTGAAGGCTATTAACAAATTCCGTGACTGATTATGGACAGTTACATGAATGAACTAGCTAGCTTTTTTTCGGATGTTTTTTAATTGAACTAAGTGTTTGGGGCGCATTCAGGGCTTGTTACTTTTTGGAAATCCATGCTATGTAACTTGAGTTGTGCCGTGAGAAAGACATACCGATGTTTTATTTTATTCATATCCACGATAATGCAGAGGCACATAGTAGATTGAATGGGGAACACTATTTTTCACCTAAAAAGATATGCCCTTACCTAATTTTCTTATTAGAGCCAAAGTAATATGGCTAGTTGTCGTTTGTGTCAGCATTATGGCTGTTCTCCTGGCGTTACTGGATTTGCCATGAGATGGAATCTTCTAGCAGCATCATGCTCACATGCGGTCTTAAATTGTCTTAAATTGTGGAACAGAAGTAGTCGTGAACCGATTTTGGCACTCGTATCTCTCGCCAGCAAGCGCCTGGTATCTAAAGCTTCCCATTTATTTTTACAGCCGTGCTCAACACGTACGCTGAAGGTTGTCACGTAATAGACAGACCATTTCAGTCACCACCGAAGCATTGCTGCTTCACGTTTTGTAAGACTTACTGATAGAAAGAAACTTCATCAGTTGGATTTTTGAAAAAAATGGCGGGGGAGAATTTGAAGAACGAAATAATAAAACCACCGATACATTAGCAACCAGACATCCTTGATGTCTACTAAGCAGAAGACAAATAAGTCGTCGAGTTATGTGTTAATATCATCACAGTTAGCAACGAAGGTAAAGGCCCACAACACATAACTTCGTTAGGGAACGTGGACATGTCGCGGAGGGAATACTAAACTTCCTATAACCTCTTACTCCGGACATCAAGGCCTGTCCAACGAAGAAAGGACCATGAATGGGCCAATTGGGTTCAAATTTTCGGTACACCGGACACAGGAACGCCAAAATATTTTCTCTTTTTCATTACGTATCGGAAGCTGCTAGGCAGCTTTAATCATCTAGTCTTCGTAACATACTCTGAAGACGTACAATTTGACCGATACAGTACATAAGCACGGTTGGCCCCGCGAACCCTTTTCAGAAACTCGATATTCTGCTGTGCTAGGTAACAAAATTCGACGCCAATGTTGACAAAGAAAATTCTGGAGTTAGCAGAATGAAAGTGATCACTCTGAGCCATGCCTATTATCCCTTCATTGGTGAAAACATTGAAGAGATTGGCCGTAGCTACTAGCAGTGTAATAGCAGTTCATTCTCCGGTAAAATCCCATTTGTTATCTTTACCCCGTAATACATAGAAGTGGGTGCTTTTGGTTGTTTCGGTCCATTGTGAAGGTGTGTTCCTGGCTGTTATCAACGCATTTCCACAGTAGAAGTGATATTCAGTTCTGGTGAAGCATCTGCGCAGGTTGGATTCCTGGAGGTTCTGATGACCGATAAAGGAGCTCGGTTTGTATGAGCTGTCGCGTCAGGCTGTCAGTTTATTGATTTTGAAGGAATCGGTGATTTGCTTGACCAACCCTATCATCAGAAAACCGGTGGTCACACTGAATACACTATTAATATTTTTGTTTGCAAATTAGGAAACTTGTAAAGATCGGAAACATCAGACGAATCATACACACACTCTTGGTGTTCGTTTGAAGCAATGTTCAGTAAATCCGCATCAAACCAACGGTATCCAGCCTCGAGATTTCTCCGGCAGTGAGTGATTTTCACGTTGGACACAACAAGGCCTACAGAAATGATTTTAGGAAAAACCACCCGTGAACGATAGGAGTAATATCACGTTCATTCACTCGCAGCACCTGCAGTAACGTGAGAAATCTGCAGATAAATCACGGAAAACATACTCTTGGAGTAGCTGAGCGATGTACCAGCAGTCTTGTACGAAGCTGATGTTTTAAGTTCACTTGGGCTTGCTGTCGGTCAAATGTGCCTCTGATTTGCATGTTCTGTCTACGTTTTGACTGAAAATGGTCGACAACATTCTTCAAGATTGTAAAATGTTAGTGTTATTTCCCCGGCAGTTCACGTAACACAAAGAGTATCGGTCCGTTATACCAATAACACATTCTTTCTCCTTACTTGGTCCCTTTGTCAACTGGTTTTTCTACATTGCCAAATAATAGCTGCAGCAAATTTCCACAAATTCAAGGTGGTCAGCTGGGTCAGTCTTTAGCGGAATTTGTTGAGATTGCGTATTGACTATACACAACACGGAGGTGGAAACCCAAATAAATAACCAAACTAAAATTTTTCGGCTGTTTATGTTCCGGGTACTGTTTGTCAGCGTTTTCGTCAAAAGAGTAGGGATTTCGAAGAAACACTGTTTTTCCGACAAAAATTTTGAAATGGTTTGCTAATGGGCAGCAAATACGATTCCTTCTCATAGCTATTTGTTGGAAAAGTGTGCGTAGTCTGGGGGGTTACCGTCGGCCATCTAGTAGTTTTACAAAGTATTCTGGGAAAACGATGACGACGACCCAGATTCTGGGTCACTGACTGGAAAAGAAGTTGAAGTTATCCAGACAACACGTATGAGAGAATTCCATAAGCACTCTTATCTTTCAAAAAATAAACATTCTATAGAAGCGCCGAGCAGAGTTCGCATTGAACAGAGTTTTCCTTCCTAGGGAGCAATTCTGCTGGAATTTGAAGCACTAGTAATCATTCTCGAATGCAAATTCGCTTCGAAAAACAACAAATTATGAGCCAGACTTTGGTGGGCTTCGTTCGACATAGGAATAGAACTCTGGTGTGAATAAACGCATAGGAAGCAATATATGTTAAGGTGGACGCTCATAGTTTATTTCACCTTGTTGATTATATTTTCTTCAAGTTCACCAAAGCTAATACCGATTGTACAGCCTGATTTCTGAATATCATTCTCTGAGGGGAATTCCTCATCGTGACCTGTATGCGGGTCATGGGCAGAGTACATCGGGTGACTGATTTGAACAAACTTGTCGCCAACAACACCAGCAATGTTCCAGTCTGTGGCAAGCAGTTACATAATGCTGTGCCAGCTTCGCACCGGACCGGGTTTAACTGCTTACAGACTGAAGTCCTCATATGAACCGTCACTAATTTTTTGCATAAAAGCTCTCGAATACTGCAGAATTCATCACAAACTGTTCAGGTGATTTTCCTGATTGTATTTCATCCGCTCTCTCTCATTCTCCCTCATTTTCATGCTGATATCTGAAATCACTCTTTCCTAATTAGACTAGGTTTGGATTTTTCCAGTTTCTGTCAGGTCTGTTCTAGATTTTCTACACTACTCATTAGGTCGCTGAAGACCCTTTGGCAGTCCACGATCAGTTTCGTTCTTCTTGAGGCTCATCTTCTAGGAGCAGTCTCAATTTTTCGTCAACCTGTTCTTCTACTTGAACCCAGTTAGATACATTTGGTCAAATACTCTATTTGGAGACGATGGTAGAATCAAACAATTCTAGCTGAATGGCCTACTTATGAAGGTCCGATTCAACTGAATGTGCTGCGCTAGACCGCCTCAAGTTTTACTTGGTAAAATAGTCGAGATATCGCAGTACGTTAATTTTTCAGACGAAGCACACCGAGAAAAAGTTGCTGATGAACCCTTGACAACCTGCGGCCGGTTTCGCATTTCCTGATGATCGTCGGATCTTATCGCTTGAATAAATGGACCCATGAAAAATTACAGTCTATGTAGACGGATTCCACCGCTCCACCAGAAAAGAACCAGGACGAGTGACTAACGTTGTTTGTTTGACATGAATCGGTTCTGTGAAAAGCCAAAAGCCTGGAAAAACAACGTTTTAAGGGGATGATACATTGGCTGCCACTCTACAGTATATCGCAATCCAGTGTTTTCTACCATTTAAAGTAATTAAACGGTTTCATCTTATTCGAGATACCTCAAGTCATCCTCTTTTCTTCAACTCTAATTACTTCTATCTTGTTTGTTTTGGTAATGGAGGGATAGATAGATATATTATACAGCCGACTGACACATGGGTCGTCCAGTTAACCAAACCACCTTGAGGAGTGTTCGGCTTTCGGGTAGAATATATAGGCAGTGTCAAGACGAGCGTCGGTTGCAACTTTTGTGCACATGTAGGTGACTACTAATCAGTGAGTTAGGTACACAGCAATGTAAATGTTTTCAATGAGGTCTTACATTTCTTCCCCACCATTGGCTTCATCTGTTTTCTCGCCTTGTGCCCGTCAGCATGAACAGATATCTTCCGCTAGTGCCACCGTATCATCTGGGTGTATTACTATAGCCTCCGCTACCACTGGTGTACATGGACCTTCCGTCGTTGCCCACGTATCATCCCCTGCGCCCGTACTGTCGCCCACCAATTCCACCGTTCTCAGTCCCACCATCGCTGTGCTGTGTACAGCGCCAGGTGCTTCGTCGACTCCCTCAAGTAACGTTCCTGTCGGCGGATCCGGTGCCAGAGTTCGTGTGTCTGGACCATCCACTGCGCCAAATTCGCATCGCACACACCCACCCAAGGCTCCTCACACTCATTCGCTTCATGGTCAGTCTGACCAGAGCGCTCATGTAGACGTTCAGCACCATCGGCAGCATTCACATGGCCACCCACCTCAAGCACACACACCAGCAAACCATTTGGGTACACATAATCGGTAAGTGCTTCTTCTTAACCAGGAATGATCTTTAAAAACTGGCGGTATTCATTTCATGATATTCGTGTTCGGGTCATAAAGCACCCATCACTGAAGGCTAACAAGAAGCACTACCGACTAAGCTCATTACTACAATATGGTTGAGGGCAGGTTGGCATATTGGATACCCTTTTTGAAATGGATGATACGAGATGAGTTGGTAAGTAGAAAAGCAGTATGTACTCAACAATGCTTCCTATCGACCGATAAAAGATATGTACGTTCATGTACCTCACTAGGATTTAGGGTAGCGCAGTATATGAATATAACATAGGACAAGATAATGGTTGACCTAAAAAGTACACTGGCATAAGTAAGGTTTCTTCATTCATTGAGTCAAATGTATCGGTGGTGATATCGTTTAGGTAGAGCAGTTATTGCATTTGGGATTAAGTGTCCATGCAAATGGACGTATTCAAGTGACCTTCGTGGAAGTACATCGAGGGAATATCAGGTTGTTCCTGCTTCTCTGGGTGCAGTTTCATAAATTTGATGGTACAGCCAGTGGTAAATCGATGTCACATTGGTCGAAAAGTAGTCCAAAGGTGCGCTTGACCCTGTTTATGGATTATTCATAGAAACAAAACAGAAGTTACGTTGGATCAGAATCTGAACTTGCCGTTCGGTGTTACCGTTGTAGTTTGTTTGTTTTGTTGGAAATCGGGTACATACTAAGGAGAAACTACACTTTCATCTCATAAATCGGACAAACTTGGTTGTCCTTCCATTATACCTAATGTTTTTGTTGATATCATGCATTAAAGTATAAAGTGTGTAGTGCGTATCGTCCCAAAACATTATCTGACAGCATACAGACCACGCTGTTAGATGGAGTTAAGCCAGTGCTACTGTTCAAAAACGACTAAGCCGTTAGGGATAAGAAATGGGCAGCTGTATATCACTTTTGTCCTCTATGCGCCAGACCGGCATCCGAAGAATCCAAAAGTACCTCACCAGTTCTCAACTTTCGAGCAACCAGACAAAGCGAGATCAAGGTGTAGCTTCAACATCTTCAAGTCAAAATGATTGATGCAAGGTGAGACTCACCTCTGATGGTCCCTTTCTCAAGGCCTTCGGTTTGTAGCAAATAATCTTTGTGCTGGAGGAAACCTTCGTTGTAGAAGTACCCCAGTGTTGTTCTTAACAGGACCTTCACGATGTTAGAAAAAGTAGTACAAGAAAAGAGTCACTGTGGGAGATTTGGCTGACCATGTGGTAGTTATGTTCCCTTTTGTTTTTTCACTTGTATGGACACAAAATCTATAAGTAAGTCCACACACGTCCACTGTGCTCCTGACTTTAGTCCTTGTACTATATTTCAATCACAAATTTCCACAGCTCTTGCAGCCAACCAGTACCAATGTCAGTTGGGCACGACGGATCCGCCGCCACTGGACATCTGCAACAAGCCACTTCCGCCTCATCTAGATCAGGAACACAGCCACAACTAAGCGGGCCTATCTTGGGTCTCTCGGCCAGTTCCTCACTCATTGGACTCAGCGTTGCCTCCGCATCATGCGGGCCTTTGGTTGGTCAGGTACCGCATTTGGGTTCGGCGACAACAAACAGTTCCTCCGGGCAACTTGTGCAAGGTCTGGAATGCCTTCGACTAAACACTTCCACAAGTCCTGCCTCAGCCTTAGCAACCTCACCCCACATGCTGGAAGCACAATCATCACAACGACAACAGCGAGGACAACAGCAACAGCAGCAGGCACAAACGCAACAACAACAGACCCAACATGCCCAGACACCATATATGCTCCCCGTGAATGCACTGAGTCCATCACTTCAAGGTGGGAGTATTCGTTTCGCCAGCAATGTTGTGACTCCTACTCCGTTATCTGCCGCACAGCATTCCCATCAAGGAAGTATGGATAGCGGCGTTGGACAATCACTTACGGGACAGTCCAGCGCCAGTGCTGACCAAACTCCGGAACATGCGGTGATGCTGTTTTGCGACCCTAGTAAGTCAAAGATTTGATTTTCCACGTGTTTCAAGTATTCAGTTTTCCTACCCGACAGTTCCACCCTATCTAGACTTCAATAAATTTCTATGTTTTTCACCAAATTAACGCTTAGAAAACAACTATGGACAAATGTACATTGACATTTCGGCAGATACTTTCGTTGGACTCAGTCACGAATGCATGCTGATACTCTCATTACAAAGGAACGCCTGGCAAATATCATACTTCTACTTCAACCAGAACTTTCTTCTATTTAGGAGTAAAGGCGTAAATGAAAAAAAGTTGGCTTGACAGCAGTAATTAAAGTTTCTTCTTTCAAGCATAATGGAACCTGTTTATACTTCAGTCATACAGCGTACTTCAGTTTCATTAAAAGCTTGAAGTTGAGACTAATTAGTGTGCCAGTTTAGAGACTGTTGGTCAGCTTTTGCCTACCTGATGGGCTTGGAGATTAAGAAAGTTAAGAGTAGTGCGAAATAAGATTTTTTTGGGACCTGTGCTCTGTTTATCATATGCTGTTTTAGGGGCGTGCTCCTGCTCTAGAATATGACCTGCAATACGTAAAATTTTTTGTTCTACAGCTTCTGAGAATTCCATCATCCACCCCAGCGAAGTGATTAGATAGTGCCTATGTTTTTGGGCAGTTTTGGGGTGATCAGTTCGGTTTTATCCTATCAGTAATTTTGACTGCAACGGTGAAAGCCAAAAGACCACAAACATCTTTCCCCACTAGGTTTGGTTTTTCTAGGGGAATCGCACTTATACCTACTTCACCACCTTCATCACCACCGCCACCAAGTATGCATAGGTTACAAGGGCCAAATTTTCTGGGTTAATCATACACTTCGCTTGACGAAGGTCGAGAGGTAGCTTCTCGAGAAACTACTGAAATGATGAGGATTTCACAAGAACCATTACTTCTATCGTTCGGGACAGATCAAAGCCTCCTACATAGCTGGTGATTTATAGGATACGCGTACTTTAAATTTTCGATTCTACTGACGAGAGTGGACAAGATTTTGTCTTCGATGCATTGCGTACTATGGATTAATTACTTCTGGGGGTACGTAAACTAGCCTCTGTCGTTGTTTTAGACCTGGGCTTTTCCTTTGGCAGACATTGCAGTAGAATTTCTGGTGACTCATCACGTTTATGCTTGAAATGCATACGTTGGAAATGAGCAGTCACGTGAAAGTCATGCGCCGGGTCATTACAAGACTGGACCTGCTTATGCATCTCAGATCCATACACATTTACTCACACATACGAGCACAAAAGTCCCTCGGTTATTGTGCCACAATCGTACCACGTCCTTGACCTGAAAGAAATCAACTGTATCATGTGCTCCTGTGCAGGCTAACCAGCAGTAATGTTTTATGACACAACTGCACTTATGTTTGTCTCAGATCTGGTTCACGTTATATTTGTCGGCCCAGCACTGCATTGTGGCTTCGGGTCACACTGTGGCGATGTCGTAGTATAATACATCTGATTTATTTCGCCATGTCTGAGAAACAATCTAGGGGAGTGGTGGTCCCTACTGTACTCATGGTACATCAGCCTGCCTTCGGTATACACTCTGATGCATCCATTTGGAAGGTGTACATCGAGTGCGTTATAGAACGTCCAAGTTCAAGTAAGGACCGCTTATTTGGAATTGTCAAGGTCAGGGGACAGCGATCTTTTCAAACACCCTTATGTCGTTTTACTCAGATTCCTAAGGGCAAAGGAGCTGAAAGCAGTTAGGTGAAGGCAAGTATTTTCACGCATGTAGAGCTGGGTGACGCGAGTGAATGTTTTACTGTTCACTTAGATTATTTCTGGCCCATTTCCATTTAACTTCCTTGCAGTGGAAGTTAGGAGAGTACAGAAAGAAATCGGCGAATAAAGCATGAGTCTACTCGCTGGTGATCCAGTAAATGTACGCGTGGATGAAGGATATTATGCCTAGAGTACCCATAAAGCACCGGCAAGGCGGGACTGCTAATGGTTTGGACAAGACAATCAAGTGGTTTGTGTCTCACATCATCAATAGCTGGTCTCTGTCCCGTCTTGTGAGAGTCTTGGACTTGTTGACTTCGAAGCTACAAACACACTGGCAAATGAAAGCGGAAAGCTGAATTCGTAGCCACTGTAAATCTTGGCTAGCGAAGGGTGAATCAGAAGAACATGCTGAAATTACTATCAGGAGTTTTGAAACAAACCGTCCGGGAAGGTGCCATTAAAGTTTCCCTCATTATGATAGCACCATGCGGTGGTTCCATAATTCTTTGCTTCATTTTCTAATGATTTTGAGGAAGGGCATAGAATTCAAACGATCGTGGATTCGATTTATCAACTCGTATCTTTAGGAAAAAAAGCTGTATCAGTGTCCTGTTTCTAATGAGGTTACATCAGGCCAATTAGTGGTCCTAAGCTTTACCTCTTGCTCATCCGGCTGCTTCTTTATTAAGCAAAAAAATGTATCATGAATAAGTAGTGGTAGCGCGGGAAACCTATTTAACTGGTAATAGTCCACACAGATCTAGCTTTTCGACCGATCCAGAGGCATTTTCTGTCGTGCAGTTAAATCCAGTATCCTTATTACTTACTGTTGTCGGGTACCAGCGGAAATACCAAGGGTTCAAGGGCCTCCATTGAAATTATCTCGCAAAGTATGAATAGAAGCTACTAGTTAAAGTCAAAAGGTATAGGTAAACGGCAGACAAAATTGTTCATTGCCTCATTCTACGCAGTCAGCTTCGCTAGTCTTGCCAGCGTCCGACAGCATTCACATCTGAATTTTAGAAGGATTGGAAAACCACGAACATTCGAAAACTGCAACGTTTCCAGCAGCAAATCAGTAGACGAGCGTGGGGAACAACTGCTCCGATTAAGATGAGTTGTATCTAATACGGGAATGGTTCTGCAATTCTTGATGATCGCACGCCCAAATTTATCCTCTAGCGAGCCATCACTGTCACGTTTATTTCAGCTTTTGGTGCTAAGAGCATTAGAAATGTGGGCACAAATTATGGAAGATGTTTCTGAGTCAAGGGCTGTAGAACCCATTGTTCTGTATCGATCCTATTCAGCGCTTCTGACTAGAAACCATCTGGTAAGTATTATTGTGGTTGTTTCCTGTATTTGCTTCTACAAATCCTGGCAGGCCCTGTGTTTTCACCCTGCGAGTTACCATATGTGAAACTTACCTGTAAATGATTCCCCTAAAAAAATAATCTTCCAGTATGAGGTGACGGTGACATAGGTATTGTGAAGTAGTTTACTGCAGCAAAGCTGTGAACCATGAGAGGCTAGTTTTCTGTCATTCATTCACCGCACGTATTGCCTAAAACGGTCTCTTTCAGGATGCTTCTGTCAAATACAAAGCATCGTTCTTTTGTTCCAAGTTAGGATTAGCGACAGATTTCGGTTCAGTACTGAATGAAATCTACCACATGCTTTGTCCTGACTGGAGGTTATCATGTGGTAAAGTTTGGTGTATCCATTTGACCACATCCAAGTGAACCTATTTCGTAAAATTTTTAGCATGGGCTGAAACAGCAAACGACTGTCACTTTTGACTCGGTTCTTCATAGTCAAACATTCTAGGTGAGCTTTTTGATTCGTCAATAAAATTCACGATCAACTACTACCATGATCCTGACAGATTTCGTTCAGTACTGAATGAAATCTACCACATGCTTTGTCCTGACTGGAGGTTATCATGTGGTAAAGTTTGGTGTATCCATTTGACCACATCCAAGTGAACCTATTTCGTAAAATTTTTAGCATGGGCTGAAACAGCAAACGACTGTCACTTTTGACTCGGTTCTTCATAGTCAAACATTCTAGGTGAGCTTTTTGATTCGTCAATAAAATTCACGATCAACTACTACCATGATCCTGTGGCAAAGAGTGTTCCACTACAGGTAAATGAGTTACGTGACCGATCACTATCTGTCGGTTGTTGAACTGGAAAATTAGTGGTTTACTTTGTGTGCTTAGATTTTTATAACACCGAGCAAGGTCTTCGGAATTCTACTAACGAACGATCTAACAACACTCTCTGTAGACACCTACCCGCGACCATGAATATAAACGACACCCGAACTCGAACAGATGTGTGCTGATGTCCCAGAAAACCAAGTTGGCTCACTTTCTCAATGTAGATACGCGGCTTGAATTCTTCAAGAAGTTTGATAACGATGAGGCATTTTTGGTTTATTTTCCCGCTTAGCTGACACTCGACGAAGCCAAAATTGACAGAATAAGGCCTTACAATGAGCACTATGCATGAGACCTAGTGTTGTATGCAGCCGAAGTACGCTGATTAATTTTCTCACTTGTTCGCCTTGAAGACATCGTTTGGGTGTGTTAGGGTCGAACAGATTATGTCTTGGCTAGAAACTTCAGGTCACTTGGCCAAAGATCAAAACGACTAGCAATGATGTGGAATATACGTGGCTCGGGTGCGCTGTTTGATTGTTGGTCTGTTCGCCTAGCAATCCAACTGACAAGCTAGGCGGACATACCAACAGCCAAACAATACGTTTGCCATTCTGTTGGTACAACTGAAGATTTTTATTCTAGTGAAGCTAGAAAGTTCGTCAAAATTACAATAAATTTCCTGTGATCAGCGCACCTTTACGTTGTCATCAAAAAGAATAGGCTCTAGATATTGCCCTATAATAACACTGTAACATCCGAACATCCGCTGCTAACAGTACAAAAGCAAAATGTGCGCTTTATTAGTACAATATCAAATGAACTCGTTTTGTGCTGCGTTTGAAGGCTCTGTTAAGTTGATGAAGGTAATAGCAGTGTTGCTAGTTTGCATGCACGAGGACGTTTGATCACGTGCAAACTCCGCGATGACATTAGTTTGAAACTGTTGTTGTTGTTCCATCCAATTTCAATCTCTCAGCACGATGCGTGCATGTCGCGTGAGCTCTCACACAAACTACACAAGACTTGAAACGGTAAGCCTAATGATGTGCTGCTCACTGCACACTTGA